CCAAGGGCGGCCAGCCGGGATCCGAGCGGCGCGCGGGGACGCTCGTGGAGGGCCGCGGGTCACGTGGGAGCCAGTGGGCGGGGCGGGGCGGGGCGGGGCGTCACGTGGGCGAGGACCGGGCTGGGTGGGAACCGTTGGGGTGAGGCCGCGGCTATTGCGGTTGGCTATGACCCTTTCGGGCCTGGTGGAGGAGCGGAACCTGTGACTCTTGACTCCGTTCGGGAGGCTGGGAAGGGTTAACTGGAGGAACCTCCGCGGGGTGGCTGGTGGCCCGAAGCTGGGAGACGTGGCGCTTCGAATGAGTCCAAGGGAGGGGATTCTGTGGAACCTGAGGGCGGGGTGGGGACAGGAGTGGAGTGAAGAGTGAGGAACCGGGTCACGGGGTCTAGGTCAAAGTCTCCATAGTAGGAGTAGGTTGTCTTCATTCTATTTCTGGGAGTAGTGTTGGAACGAAAGCGGCTTTTTTCCCTGGGTCACGGATTCGCTCGAAGCTTCCAGAGTGGACTCAGCTGAGTCTGAGGCTGGGCACTCTTCTTCCGAGGCCTAGATTTAATTCACAAAATAGGTTATTTCTCTTCAGGGCCAACTAACACAGATTGCGTGCCTCTTATTCGCTCGCCTGGCTAGGGCGCGTTTGTGTTGTTTTGCTCATTCATCCTTGCTTTCGCAGTTGTTACTACCCAGAATTCAGAAATTGGAAATTCCGTGGGCGGCACTATTTTCCTACTAATTTGTAGCTTTGATAAGAAATAAGAGAAGCACATTAGATTGTGTTTACATGTAGAGGTAGCTTCCTCCTTGCACTTAAAGCATTTCTACAAGACCACAAAATGAATTTGAAAAATTCTATTTTTATATGCTGTTGACCATCTCCGGGTATTGTAAGTAAATAAATTACCTTTTCAGATTTTAATTACTAAGACGATGGGCACTGCCTTAGTGTTTTAAAATTCCATTTGCTATAAGGAAACTCAGTGTTTTATCGTTAAATGATAATTAGCATGTAAGCAAGTGTCAAGTGAGCTAAATACAGGCTTTCTTAAAGAATATAAGGGGTAAGACTAAGAAAACTAAATGCCAAAAACGTATTAAAGAGTGCTTTGACCTACTTTGCAACAATGTTGTTATGCATGTTGTGATTAAAGATTGGAAGGGAGTTTTGTAAATAATAAATAAATTGCTAAACTTTATGCAGACTTACAGTTAAAACCAGTGTAAATTACAAGGCCCAAAACTTAAATGTCATCAGGATCTGCTTTAACTCTAAAAGGCTCAGAATTCTATATTTATGAAAATAGGTTTGTAATCCTATGTTTATGTTTTGTTAACAGACACGAAGGTGATAAGGTTTCTAAGTATTATTGCTTATTCTAGGTTAACACCTGTGGATTTACTATCATACAATAACATCAGGGTTTGCTTGTTCCATTGGCAGCCTAGCAAGTGTTATGTAAAATCATATCACCTTTTTTTCCCATGACTGTCTTTTAACCTTAAAAATAAAATATATGTTTACTGTGTTTGATAATACAGACATAATCATTTTTCATATATACCTTTCTAGTAATTTTTACCCATTCATATTTTAAAAACAAAAGTGGGGTGATACACTATTTACTGTTTTACATTTAACATGGTCATGAACATTCATGTCCATAATAAATTGATAAAGTCCATCTGATAAAGCTCACAGGAACACATCTGTAGTCCCACAAGTTAGGTTCACTAACTTGCAGCAGAATGAAGTTTAAATAAAGCAATGCTTTAGAAGACTAGAAGCAAAGCAGACTGTTTGAAGGAGTTAATATTTTATCAGATATGGCCCTACTCTTATAACTTCATTTAACCTTAATTACTTCCTTAAAGGCCCATCTCCAATTATAGTCACATTGTGGGGCAGGGCTTCAACATATGAATTTCTTTTGATGGGGAGGGGATGGACAACAAACGTTCAGTCCATCACAGTGCAGTAAGCTTCAACTCAAGTAGTATCTTTGAGGGCTGAAGACAGAAAAATGTTGACTTCTGTCTTCCAAGTATAGACTATTGCCATTTTAAACTTCTGGGTTACAGGCTTATACATCTATGAGGGTGGTTTTACAGTAAAACAGGGAACTACAGTTGAGAGGGCCAAGAATTTGGAGATATGGTCAGGAAGGGGTAATCCTCAATAAATATAGTAAGAATTAGTAAACAATGAAATTATCTGCAGAAGTATCCTTAGCTGAAAGATAGTTTATAAATGTGTGTTGAAAGTGCCAAGATATTTTCGGGTCTCTATAAAAGATGAGAAGATATGATAAGAACCTGTGTAAAACTAAAAACTGGTTAGGGCATGAGGATAGGGGCCAGGGAAAGCAGAGACGACTGAACATGATAACAAAAGTGAAAGTTGTATATTCATTCAGTGGAATGCCATGCAGCAATAAACATTATCAAAGGATATTTACATTCTGATACCATGTGTGTAAAGTTAAAAAAACAAGTTATAGATAAAAATGTAAAACCATACATGGGAATAATGAATACCAAATTCTGGGTAGTGGTTATTCCTAGGAAGAGCAAGAGAAAAATGGGATTAGAATGAAGTATATGAGGGGTTACAAATGTATAATGTTGTATCTGTTAAACTAGGACGTGGGTGCAAGAATGCTCCTTATCTCTATTTTTTGTACGCCTGAAATGCTTTGTAATTAACTAGGTGACAAAAATTAAATGATATAAACAATAGTTTGCACAGAAGCTAGACAAAATAATGGAGGCTCCCCTGACTACAGAAATGCTGGGTTGCTATAATCATATAACCAGTAAGATGTATGGGACCATCTTAGCTCAGCAGGCATCCCCTAAGATCATTTAACCCCTTTTGCTCTGATTTCATGCTTAGCACACCACACCCAGGTTGTAATGTGGCATCTTATGCAGACTTACTACATAAGAAAGAATGAGTTGAAGAGCTTACTTAAGTGCTCTAATCCTCTTAGCAGTAATATTTGTTCGAGTAAATCATGTATTTTCAATGGAGCAATATTGCCCTCACGGGGATGAAAATTATTGTTTTTTCTGGGGGGGAACCTATTTTAGTGTATAAAATACTGATATAATACATGCACAGGTATACAATATATCTGTGACATTAAAATTTTCTGTGACAATTAGGAAAAAATATCCTGAAAGGCCCTTAGAAGGGTGACAATGAAAAAATGGTTGAGAAATACTGTTGTAGAAGAAGAAGTTGATGCTCTGTATTTGGTTATTCAATCTCCTTAGGTCGTTTATTCAATTTTTTCACTGGACTTTTATTAAATCCCAACTCTTTGCTTTAAATGCATGCTATTTGTCCTCAAAAACTTCAGAACATAGTGAAGACAATGAATTCTTTCTTAAGTAGCCTTAATAGAAGAGAGTATTGCTATACTAAGTTGATTTACCATGGGGATTGTACAGGATGCTGCAATGTACCTTCCAGATCCCCCCTCAATAATGAAGGAATTATTCCCCAGCTCTGGGAGGATTACCAGAAGACATCCCTTAAGTGTCAGGCTTTGGGGGAGATTACTGAGGAAAATTTCCTTAGCCAAGTTTATATCTCCTTCTAGGGATAGCCTCTACCCAATGACTCATCAGCCTGGGGGTATAAAGTCTGGCTTTCTTGCCCCAAGTTGGGACAATTTTTTAAAAGACTATCCCAGCACCAGAGCACTCCTTGGGCTTGGCTGAGAACTGCTGGTGCTGTATCTCAGCCCAATTCTCACGCTGCCCAGGCCTACTTCCTTCTCTGTCCACTGGCATTGGTTCTGAGAGTACTTCTTTATATGCTAATCTATCTCAAAGTCTACTTTCCAGAAAACCCAGCCTGTAACAGGGATGATGAGGTATTTATCAAGGAAGGAGAGATTATTTCTGCATAGGGTAGCAGAACACTTTAAAGAAATATGTTTAGGGTAAATCTTGAAGGATGAGTAGAATGTTGCTAAGAAAAGAAAGCAGAGAGTGGAGAGGAATTTCCAGCAAAAAATGGGGACCAGCAAAAGTGAAGGCTTGGGACATGAGAGAACATGGTATATGTCTGGAATATAGTGGGTACCGTTCTGTGACTAATGATAAAGTCCTTAAGGTTTTGATGAGGAACTGAAGAAGAAGGAATTGTCAAACATGTCTTCCTAGGTTTCTCACTTCCAATTGAACAGATGGTGGTGCCATTCACTGAAATGGGGGGTATTGGGAAAGAACTAAGTTTGACAAGCCAAGATTACTAACTTGATATTATACACATTGTTTTCGTGGAGTCCAAAATATTCAGATGAAGATATCAAATAAGCAGGTAGATACATGGATATGGACTCCAGAAGAGAGATGAAAGTTGGAGGTACCTCTTGGTTTCCTTGCTCCAATTATACTTTTTATTCCTCAATCATTTGTTACTTCTACTCCTACAAGCCCCTTGTACTTGCTCTTCCCTGGGCATGGAATTCATTAACTTGCTTTTTTTGATTAATTCCTGCTCAGTCTTCACATCTAATATGAAAAACATTTTTCTCCCAGAGGCTGTGCCCAACCACCAGATCAGGTCACTTCCTCATGTTACATATTTTCAGAGCACCATGAATTTTCATAATACTTGTCAAAATGCAATTTCACATTTATTCATATAATTATTTTCTCTCACCTCCTGGCTATAATTTCCGTGAGAACAGGAACTGTTCTGGTTTTGCTCATTGTTGAACTACATCTTGTACCTAGCATAATACCTAGCACAAGGTATATGCTCAGAAT